GTGTGTAAGGTCGGGGGGGGGGGGTGTCCCATTTCACTGCGGGGCAACCTGCATGTGGCGAATAAAGCTTTGATTGATTGATTGAACGGTCAAACAAAACTAAGTTTCAACCCATTAAGTTCATCCAGGGGGTGTTTCATAATCTTCTCATCTTCTTCAACAGAAAATTATTCCTATGAGTGACACCAGTCCAGAAACCATGCAACGGCAAATTATTTGATAATCTGCTGTTTCATTCAATTCAGTTCAGTTTTATTTCGATGGCATGAAATCACATCAACATTTGTGTCGAGGAGATCCTACAATAATAAGATGACCCCTTATTAGCAAGTATTTGGGCAACGGGGGGGGGGAAGAAATTCATTTCTAACAGGAAGAAACCTCCAGCTTAGTTGTGCTTCCGCTGTGGCGTTCAGGTTTATTTGTGTCAACTGTGTTCCCCAGGTGTTCTCATTTCCCTCATTACCCTCCACCCTTTATTTAGTGTCAGGTCGTCTGTTTATCTTGCCACATATCTGGATTTCTCATATCTTCCCGCTCCTGCTCAGGTTCATGTATTTGTCATAGTTTGCATGTTTAGCTCTAGCTTTTCCCAGTTTAGTTTAGCTGTTGGTCTTTTCCTTAGTTTGACATCCTTAGTTTGACATCTGGCCTGGCCCCCACCAAGGTGTGGGGCCACCTTATCATAAGGTGGGGCCAGGTTTCACAATGAACTCACCCGAAACTCTGGCTGATTGGGACCCACACCCAGTTTCACACCTTGGCTCAGGCGATTAGAGGATCATCAAGGGGTCCTTTTGTCCCTCTGTGGGGGGTTACTCCCACTAGGTTAATATCTGGGACTCCCCACCATTTGACCTTAGAACTGAAGAAGCTTCTTGGATGAGAGGTGAAACATCTTCAAGTAACTAAAAGAAGTCCAGACGCTTTTCTTTGTAAGCTCCTTTGACATATAGGCAATCCAGACTTCTTACTCTGTTTGGAACAAACCTTTTTATACTACAAATATTCACATGAGTTTCTGTTTCCAGTCTACAGATCCAGCCACACTTTCTGTCTTCACTTGTACATGAAGAAGGATGAGCAGAAACCAGGTGTGCTGATGGAGGACGGGTCAGGTGATTGGAAACAGTGGGAACACACTGAGGCCACCTACAGGGCAGATGGGGAACAGCAGGGCTCTGAAATCAAATGCAATCACTGAATGTTTCTTCCAAGCTCATTTCAACCTGTTGAAGTCATGACTGAAAGTGCAGACTGAGAGTGGATCACATGATGTCTAAGGTGTGTCATGTGACATGTTCAGTATTGTCACACATGTCTAGATTGTCCCTGATATCATAGCTGCTCAAACACTGATGATTATATTTGAAGAATTATTCCTGATGGCAGCAAAGTTTGAATGGAGCTCTCTGTCTGTGCTGATTTGTCGCCCTCTGGAGGTCAAAGCACAAACTGCATGATGTCACTGTAACCACCACAGTGACAGGAAGTGTTTTTAAATGATGAAACATGTCAGTGATGCTGATAGTGTGTTCATCACAGACGCTCAGGAATCAAAGTGAAAGCAGAGAAACTGGAATGAATCAGGTGTTGTAGAAGATGGAGAAACAGGGTGGAGAGAGGATGCTGCTCCTTCTTTGAGATCAAACATGTCGTGTTGTTCACGTGCTGTCAGCGTGACGCAAAGAAACCATGGAAACAAAGTGTGAGTGAAATCAGTCCAAAGTAACAGAGTGAAGAGCAGCAGATGAAGCACTTAGGACACAAAAAGGAAGGAAAGAAGGAGACAAGGTCCATCTGTGTCCTTTCAAACAAGCATCAACGTCGAGGACTGAAACATGAGTCCACATATTTATACACATATTTATTTAATGAGAATAAAACAAGAATATTTATAACACATCAGCAATAATCAGGCCTGGGATCCTCCTGGTTACAAACAGGGTCCAGGACTGGGATCCTCAGGTGGATCCTGCAGGGTCTGGTTCAGGAAAAGAAGTCAGAGGTAAAGTCCACAAACAGCATTCTCACGTACGTGTTTCCTACTGTCCAGATGTGTGAGGGTTGTGTGAAGAGCTGTAATTATGGCGTCCTCTGTCCACCTGTTGGCCTTCTACAGACTGTAGCAGGTTGAAGATGGTGGTGAAAACCTCTGCTAGTTGGTCTGCACATGCTTTAAGCTCTCCACCGGCTGCACCGTCAGCACCAGCTGCTTTCCTCGCATAGACTCAGTGTGGCTCTGACCTGATGCTGCTCCAGCTGGATGGGGGCGTCGTCCCTCTCTGTAACGGCAGGATAGGTGTTGGTGTCACTGTTTTGTTGGTCATGAAGAACTGCTTTATGGTGTCAGGTGAGGTGATGTGCGGGGAGTTTGTTTGTGTGCGATTGTCCTGCGATTGTGTGCCACATGTTTCTGGAGTGGTTTGTGTTAAAGTGTTCCTCGATGCGCTGTTTGAATCTGCGTTTGGATTCTTTGATGCCTTTAGATTAGACGCCTCTTTGTAGGTTTGTTGGTCTCCTGATCTGAAGGCGCTGCTCTCAGTAGAGCTTGCACCTCACTGTTGAGCCATGGCTTCTGCTTTGGGAACACTTTCACAGTCTTTGTTGTTGCTACACTCTCAGTGCAGATGTATGAGGGTACAGATGTGTGGCCCTCCAAGTCTCCATCTCATTTATTTCCCTTTCCTTGTACAACTGTTAGTTCATGCTGGTTTAAATGAGTCCTAAACTTCATTGTATGTGACATTAAACATCTTAAATGTAACTTTCTGTAGCAAAGAAAGCTGCAGGAGCCCAGGTTTCATCTTCACACACATCAGGAGCAGCTGCTCCATCACAAACACCACAGAAGAAGAAGAACACTGGATCAGATTTAATGTAACCGGCTGTTTTTATCTGGATTTATCTGACAGGGACAGAGTTCATGTTCATGGACATCAGGATAAAAACAGAAGATGGAAACCTGCAGATTTGAGCTGCTCATGTGTCGTCCCTGGGCAGGTCACATGACTCCATCCAACACACAAAGACACACAGACACACAAGAAAAGCCAGAGAAACAAAGACAAATCCAAACAATCCATCATACTGAGTTAAAGTGATCACAGGTCTGCTTTGTTGGAGCCTTCAAATCTGTTCCTTTATTACTACCACTGAAGGCCACGCCCCTCTGGTCATGTGATCATGTGGTTTGTAGGAATGCTCCTCTTCCTCAGAGGATCCACCTGTGCTTCCTCTCCTCTCTCCTCCACCTGTTACAGTGAGGGAACGTCCTCCATGATGGAGGAGCTGCTGGAAAGTGCTGAGAGTTTCTTCCAGAGTGAGACCTCTGACACAGTTCAGAGGATCTACGGCAGCAGAGACCATGAGACTAAAAGTCTCAAACACACAACAACAACATCACACTGACTCCAGTCTGACATCACCGATCAATAATCAAACAGATCAAACTGATTGATCAGCCATCACAACCACGACCACAACAACTGTGAAAATAGTTGGATGGACGTTGCTGCTCAGTCACAGCTGCCTGGTCAATGTTTTTCATTAGCAATTTAGCAAAGTTGATGATGGTGATGAGTGTCTGTGTGAGTGAAAGAGACAGATTTTGTGTTATAACCAGAGATGGGCAGTAACGCGTTAGTTACTGTAATCCGATTACTTTTTTCAAGTAACGAGTAAAGTAAGGGATTACTATCGCAAAAACGGTAATTAGATTACCGTTACTTTCCCGTAGGAACGCTGCGTTACTGCGTTACTAAAACCGTGATTTTTTGCGAGAATGTCTCATGACGTAAGCGAGTGCGACGTTCGTGACAACAGCTGTGTGCAGATCAACAGTGGATCATATATCGAGTGCAGGAGAGAGTATGAGCGTGCAGCGTTTAAAGCGTGGAAGTACTGACCTTACTTTGAGTTTGATTCCATAAAAAGTGACAAAAACATTAGTGTCCGCTGTGCGTGGGAAGAAAACTTCTTTTTACAGCGAAAAAACCCCTAAACTTCCAAGCAAGCACCGAGTAGCTACGACGTAATGGGAAACTCACAGAGAAACTAGCGGATTCTTCAACTGACCGCAGCACACCTGCACCAGGGTAAACCTCCGCCTACCCCACTCCTGCTTTACAGGTGAAAATAGAGCAACAGGACCGCTGAGTCTGTGACTTTATTTATGTTCTGCTGTGTTTTACTTGCATCTATTTGAAAGAGTGAGTGTAAACACAAAAAATATTTTATTTTATGTGCTGGAATGTGCAGAAAATAGGTTTAAATGTTAAACTAATTTATTCAAGTCAGAGAATGTTGCAGATAATTACATTTTTGCTTGATGCATAAAGTTAAAAGATTAAAACTAATAAAACAAGTTAAAAAGAGACTTTTCCATTTGATTACATTTTGTATGATGATGATGCAGAAAAAGTAGAATTGGGCTGAAAGTTTAGTTACTGATTACTTTTTTAAAGTAACTTGACCAACACTGGTTATAACCTTCATGTTATGGACACACAGTGTGAGCACTCAGGTCGCATCAGAGCATCGGGCCGTATAGTGTGAGAACCTGCATCGTGACCTACAAACTTCTAACCTATGAACTTCTAACGAGATTCAGTCGTACAGTTTGAGACAGCTCAGACCTGCTCTGCACAATAACAATGTTTTATTTATGTAGTGATATTTGTTATATGCTGTTACATAAGTACAGGTATCTTTGTGAAATACAGGTATATTAATAAAGAAAAAGCAATAACTGAAAGGGGTTTTTTTATAAATGAGAATTTATATTTTTTAATAACTGGATAAAATATGAAAGTATACTTGATATTCCCTCGTGTCCACAACAACAACCACATGGTGTACATCTGAACATGTAGTATAGAAAGTATCAGGAAAAAAGCCATCTACACAGCTGCCTGATGCTTCTTTACATGTTTCACTTATGCCAAGGGAAGGATCTCCCAATGTTTTTGATAGCTGATGTTGTTTGACCAAGTTTGTACCTCTGTGATTCTTTGGTTCCTCCATCCTCTCTCCTCATCTCCTCCAGTTTCTGGACCTTCTCCGTGTCTCCTTCCTCCTTCATCTTCTCAATCAGGAAGTCCAAGTGGGCAACAGTGGATGCTGAATTAGCTTTCAGAGCGATTTCCTGCAGTCTGACAGCATGCTGGTAGGAGTCACTTAGCCACTTTTCCTTTTCTGCTGTCAGCACTTTCATTTCCTTTTCAAGATTTTCCAAAAGACTCAATATTTTCTCAATTTCTATTTTATTTCTGTGATTCGTCTGCTTCAGAGCTTCTCGGATCTCTCTGATTTCTGTCTGTTTCAGTTCAGCCAGCTCGAATCTGTCTTCCAGGTTTTGGATGCAGGCTTTCAGTCTTATTCGTTCATTTAACACTTCGGCTGTTTTCACCAGTTTCTGAGGATTCGATTTTCCCAACAAGTCTGTCAAATGATCCATGTTTGTCTGTGTAAGTTCCCATGAATTTCTAAAAATTGTGTTTTCCTCCATTCGCTCTTCATGCTGGCAGTTATTAAACAGGAAGTAAACAGGTTCATTGCTCTCATTTTTAGCCCATTTAATTTTTGCAGCTTCAAGAGCTTTGAGCGCATTTTTAGGTGTTGTTCCATCTGAGTGTGTGATCAGAGCTACAATGTTTTTCTCTACATCTTTTCCAAACAGAGACATCACTGAATCAAAGACGTACCTCAATGGCTCACTCAGTCGATTCACACTCGCCTTCATCACCAGACCCACTGCATGAACTTCATGGACCCCATCCTCTGATTGAAACAGGTCCAATAATCTGTGACTGATGATGTCATCATGTTCGATCCCTCTGGTGTCTCCATATCCAGGAGTGTTGATGATGGTCAGAGAGTAGGGCAGAGTTTCATCTTCAAAACCAAAGATCTCGTACACCATCACATCTGATGTCTGACTTCTTCTCTCCTCCTCTGCGATCATAAACCAGACTTCATCCTCCCACTTCACTCCCATGGTGTAGTTGAGCAGAGCGTTGATCAGAGTAGATTTTCCTGCTCCTGTTTCTCCCACCAGTAAGATGGTTCTGTTCGGCTTGTTTGGACGTTTTTCTCCAACAGTCATTCTTGTCAGAGTTCCAGTCTTCTGTTTCTTTGCTCTCAGCTGGTAGACAGCAGGAGGTCCTGACCTGATGAGAAAACTGTCTGAGACGATGTCTTCATGTGGTGATGAGATCAAACTGATCCTGCACAGAAAAGCATAGAATGTCTTCAGTACACATGTAAACATTATGAACATGTTACTACTGTTTAACATTGAAAACTGAGCTGAGGCTTTTCTGCTCAGAATCAGAAGTCACATAAAATTAAACCTTTTTTTATTTTGTCCAAATAGATTCTTTTTTTTGTCTGCTCTACCAAAGCATTAGTGGTCACACTGCTACTTTTTAATTATACTTTTATTTTCCCTCAACCTTTGATTGGGTTGGCATGACATCATCTGGGTGAGCCACAGCTGTTGCTGCCCTGGATTCATACAGTTTTAATTTCATTTTTAGTTTTTATTGTAAGTATTAGAATATTGGGGTGATTTTCTATGCAGATTTAAACATCTGGCATCAAAGTAGAGAAAGTGAAACTTTATATTTATTTATTTTATTTTTATTTACCGTATTTTCTATACTATAAGGAGCAGTTAAAATCCTTTAATTTCTCAAAAATCATCAGTGCGCCTTATGTATGAATTCTGGTTGTGTTTACTGACCTTGAACCAATTTTATGTGGTACATGGCCCTCAAAAATCTGTCAAAAAGTGTTTAAGTACGACTTTGGTAAGGTACAAAGCTGCACTGCTTGATGGATTGTTGGCGCGTTACGGATACCGTTGTCAGGAGCGTCGCGAAGTAATCTGGGTCCTAAACTCCGTCTCTTCAGGTCCGAAAGTCAAACAAACACTGCAGCATCACTGAGAGTTAAAACTGTCTAAATTCTTTCATCTTTAATAAAATGATCAGCGTTGCTGCTTTACCAGGTGTAACAAATAAGTTTAACATCCAGGCATCCACGAAAACAGAATTTATTAAAGCTAACTGAGTTAGAAGCTAGCAAGAAGTTAGCTCACTAGTTTCCACCTAAACATGATATACGATGTTCTCACTGAGAGATTTCTGAAAACATTAAAACATAAAGCTCTGCTATTGTGACAGGTTGAAAGACTACTGAAAGTAAAAGGGTTATACAGTTAATACTAATTCATCTTAGTTGATATAAGGATAAAAATAATGTAAATACAGTAAAGAAATTGTTGACAAGTTTTTTCATGTTACACCAATGGTTCTCATTTTATTCAAGAGAGATGCCATCTGCACATCACTGATCGGCTAGTAAGCCTTTTCTGGGATTGATTGGTAGTGTCTCCATTCTGACAAGGGGGCTTTCGTGCGCTTTCCTCATTGCAATAAACAACTGCATGAGTGAAGCAAGTCTAAATGATCAAAAATCTCGTGATTCTTTTCCCCTTGTTTTCAGGTAAAAGTGTTTAAAAGTTGATAAATTTACAATCTGTACATTGTTAATATATTTAATAGGTAGCCCTTCTATGTCTTGTAAGCTTTAGAAGCATTATATTACAGTTGTTTTGTGCACATAGATACAAAACAACCTCAGTTGTTTGAGCCCCAGTGTTATACTGTATAATGTCCAATAAGCTAACGGCAGGAGAGGTAGAGTATCACTTCCTGTTCCTGTTCCAACACACAGTAGCTTATCTGCAGAGCAGTTTAACTAAAAACTTTTATATAAGTCTGTGAAGGTTCTCAGTCATCCAGGTCATCATAGTCAAAGGAGTTTGCAAAGAAAAGCGTCTGGACTTCTTTAAGTTACTTGAAGACATTTCCTCTCTCATCTGAGAAGCTTCTTCAGTTCTAAGGGTCAATGGTGAAGAGTCCCAGATTTAGAGAGTCCCAGTCCCTCCTGCACTTTCTGCTCATTGTGTCAGATGTTTAGTTACTCCTCAGCCTCCTTTAGCAGTAATGATATCTGTAACAAATGTAGCATATTTGCAGCTCTGGAGGCCAGGATTACAGATATGGAGACTCGGCTTCGCACCCTTCATTCACCCGTAGCTAGCCAGGCCACTGTAGCTGGTGCAGCCGAAGATAGCGTAGGCCCCGCTAGCTGTTCCCAAGCAGCTGGGGAAAGAGGGCGGCTGGGTGACGGTGAGGAGGAAGCATAGTCCTAAACAGAAGCCCCAGGTACACCACCAACCCGTTCATGTGTCTAACCGTTTTTCCCCACTCGGCGACACACCCGCCGGGGGTCAAACTCTGGTAATTGGTGATTCTGTTCTCAGACATGTGACGCTAGAGACACCAGCAACCATAGTCAGTTGTCTTCCAGGGGCCAGAGCAGGTGACATTGAATGAAATTTAAAACTGCTGGCTAAGGGTAAACGTAAATTCAGTAATTCACGTCGGCAGTAATGACACCCGGTTACGTCAATTGGAGGTCACTAAAATCAATATTGAATCGGTGTGTAACCCAATCAGACCCAATCAGGAGTGACATGTTTAGCCGCATGTTCTCCTTAAATTGCTGGCTGTCTGAGTGGTGTCCCAGAAACGATGTGGGCTTCTTGTTAGGAGAGACGGCATCCATCCCACTTTGGATGGAGCAGCTCTCATTTCTAGAAATATCGACAGACTTATTAACCCCCCGAAAAAAAAAATGACTATGGAGAGTTGGGACCAGGAAGCAGAGTTGCAGTCTTACGGTGCATTCACACCGAACGCAATAGACGCGACAAACGCGAATTGGTCATACTTCAAAATGTCCTGTTACCTTATTTAGAGCCCCGCATTTTCCGACCGAGAGAAACCATACCATTGTTTTCGGCCGTGATGCACTGAGATCGGTGAGCACATGTTGTATGTCTAGTTAGTTCACGTCTGTTTCACATTTTATCGTTGAGAAACTGAATTAATGTCAATTGTTTGATTAATAATTGTCGCATATGCACTGACTTTACTTGGTTTAATGCATAGTTTGTGTAAGAGAGATGTTTTATTTTTGCAAATTTGAGTGTTTTAATTGCAAATTGATGTTGAATGTGATTTCAACAAAATCCTAAGTTGTGAATTATACCTAGAACAGCATACCGTACTTTCTGGACTATAAGCCGCTACTTTTTTCCTAGGTTTTGAGCCATGAGGCTTATACAAAGGTGCGGCTATTCTGTGGATTTTTCTTCCACCACTAGGGGGACTCTAACCAGAATTAGAATAAAAAACAAGATAGATGAAAAATCAATGCAAAGAAGAATACACTACTTTTTCTTTAGCAGACAGAACACGCACAACAAATTACCAACTGGTAATTATTTTCAATACCTTGCCCCTTCATCATGGAAACCACACGAAGAAGTTCGTATGATGCAAGTTTTAAGTTGAAGGCCATCGATCTTGCTATCCAGGAGGGAAACCGCGCTGCTGCACGCAAGCTTAGCGTCAATGAGTCTATGGTGAGATGTTGGAGGCGACAGCGGGAAGAGCTCATGCAATGCCAAAAGTCGAGAAAAGCTTTCAGAGGACATAAAAGCAGGTGGCCTGAACTTGAAAATGTCCTGGAGGAATGGGTGAACACACAGAGAGCAGGTGGCCGAGGTGTATCCACTGTACAGATCCGACTGAAAGCCAAAACAATCGCCCGCGAAGTGAATATTAAAGATTTCAAAGGTGGGCCGTCATGGTGTTTCAGATTTATGAAACGTAAAAACCTGTCCATCGGACTACTCTCTGTCAGCAACTCCCCCCTGACTATCAGGAAAAAGTTGAAAACTTCCACAAATTCGTTGAAAAAAAGATACAAGAAAACTCCATCGGACCAGACGACATAATCAATATGGATGAAGTACCTTTAACATTTGATCTGCCTCTGACCAGGACCGTTAACAAGACAGGTGCATTATCCATGTTGTTGAAAACAACAGGCCATGAGAGGACGCACTTCACCTGCGTTCTGGCATCCACGGCATCCGGACAAAAACTTCCACCAATGGTGATTTTTAAGCGCATAACTATGCCGAAAGAACAACTCCCGAAAAGCATAGTGGTCAAAGTTAACACCAAAGGGTGGATGATAGAAGGTCTAATGAAGGAATGGTTAACGGAGTGCTATGGGAAGCGCCCGGGAGGATTTTTTCACCGGAAAAAAGCACTGCTTGTTTTGGATAGCATGAGGGCCCACATCACAGATTCTGTGAAAGCAGCGATCAAGAAAACAAACTCCATTCCAGCTGTGATTCCTGGAGGTACAACAAAGTTTTTGCAGCCACTTGACATCAGTGTAAATCGGGCATTTAAAGCTGCACTACGGGTTGAGTGGGAGACTTGGATGACAAGCGGTGAAAAGTCATTCACAAAAACTGGCCGCATGCGAAAAGCATCCTTTTCTGATGTCTGTCAGTGGATCCTAACAGCGTGGAGTGCTGTGAAAGAATCCACCATCACCAATGGGTTCCGAAAGGCTGGACTGCTGCGCGAACAGAGCGGCGCACCTTCAGAGCCAACTTCACCGGAGGATGACAGTGACACGGAGAGCGAGCCTGATGGAGACAGATGTGATGAAGCGCTTCTGAGCCTGTTCAACTCCGACACTGAAGAAGACGACTTCATGGGTTTCAGCGAAGATGATTAAAGTGACTTGTGGTTTCAAATACAGGAAAAATGGAGGTAAATAAATAGCGGTTATTTTCTCTTGGTTCTGTTTTAATCAGCAAAGTTGCTGCCGTGTTAAAAGGCATTGTTCGGAAAGAATCTGTTCAGGTACATACATGTACATTTGCAGTACAAGATTGTTCTGTACATGCAGTAAATATCTATTTTTTAATCATAGATATCTGCGGCTTATAGCCGGGTGCGGCTTGTATATCTTTTTTTTTTAAAATTTTTAAAAATAGAGCTGATGCGGCTTATATACAGGTGCGCTCTATTGTCCAGAAAGTACGGTAATTAATATTTGAATTGCTCTTCTGACCCTGTCTGTTGACAGGCCAGGGTTTTTTTTGTATGCTGAATTGTTCCTGAGGTGGATTCCTCCGGTGAAATAGATGGCGAGCCTTCCCACCTGGACTTAGAGAGACTGAGATTCGCTTCTTTTCCACTTGATGATCTGCTGCACCTTGCGGTGTGGTAGGACTGTATCACTCACACTTTCACACACAGCTGGTTATACATGAGACCACTGACTGACGTTCTCTCACCCCTATTTTCTTTCAAACCCTGGGAATTTTTTGGACTTTACCCCTTGGACATTTTTTATTTGGGACTTTAAATAATGAGCTGTTGTGTAGAACAATTCTCCACATGTGAAAAGAGTGTGAGATTTTCATTTGAATGTACATTGGATTTGTGTAATCTGTTTGTATAAGAGTTAAGGAGTCAGGTTACTAGGGTGCACCCAAGCATTGAAACCCATACATTGAAACCCGAACATTGAAACCCAACACTGAAAACCAAAAGTAACACTTGGCCAAGTCATTGCTTAGTAGTTTATGTGTTTTACTCTTCTTTTAATTTTTGTAAGTTTCCTTTCTACCATTGTAAGGTGTCTTTAACCTGTGCTTGTCAACCTTATGGTTTATTTCACTAAAGTCGTCTGGTTCTTTTGAGTTAAAATCTTGTCTCTGTGTCTCATTTAAACACACCCCTGTGCTCCTATAGTCGAGCCTATTGGCCCATTGATGTATTCTTTTCAACAATTCCCCTTACTGTGTTACATTATTATTTAGCTTTTCCTTCTACCATGTGCCATTAAGCAGTACAGAATGTGAAACATTTATGTTCATTTTGATTGCAATAAACGACTGCATGAGAGAAGCAAGTCAAAATCACTCCCTGTTTTCAGGGGTGTAACACTATCACTTCCAGCATAAATGAAGACAGAAAACTAAACACTTTCTGTGACATTTGTAGGATTACTGAAGTTAGGCTAGCTGGTACATAAATTTATGTGCTACGTGATCGCTAGCGACACAGCTATGTTAGCATAACATTAGCACAGTGGCGCTGGAGGATGAACGCTAACTTTTTTCCACTCGATAAAGGTTAAGGGGATGCTGTAAACGGACCAAACTTCAGTCAGGAGAACAACTGAGATAATCCATCCACAATACGAGGTTAGTCATTAATATACTGCAACAACATGGGAATAGAGCAGCTGCCAGAGAATTCAACATTAATGGATCAATGGTACAGAAGTGGAGGAAGCGAGAAGAATGAGTTGAGGGAAGTTTGACTTATCGGACCGTTTTGTTTTGCTTAATGCACCTTATAATGCGGTGTGCCTTATGGTCCAAAAAATACGGTATTTATATTTTACATTTATGTTTATGATTGGACTCTATATAAAATTATTTTAAATATCTTTCTATTAACAAAAATAGTCCATGACTGAACAATAACCTCCAGCTGTAACCCTCTGTCTTTAGTGAAGGGGCTGGGATAAGAGCAGCACCTCCAAGTCCGAGGCCATGGTTCCCAGCTGGAAAAGTTTGAAGTGCCCATCAAAGTTTGGGGATGAGATGCTGGACTAAAGATTTTTTGCACATCATTGTAGTTTTACCTCAGTATAAGACGTTTTGTGTAATTCTCCATCCTTTAAACCAGATGTCAATTTCTCTATATTGTATTTGTTTTCATGTTCTCACACAAAACACTGATTGATTTCAGTTTCTTTATGATAAAAGACACATTTCCATAGCTAACATTCAAATCCAGCCATGAGAATCAGTTTTTTTTTCTCCTCCTCTTCATCGATTACAGAAATGTAGTTTATTATGACTGTGTCACGCTGAGCAGAGAAACTGTTTGAACACTAAGAGTGAAATAAACCCAGGATAAACTATCACTGATGTGTTTCAGCAGTGATATTGATCTGTACACTTTTCTATGATAATTAAACACCTAGTTTATACTTAGTAATTATAAACTCCAGTCACTGTTCTGTGAGTGTCAGTTTGACATACCTTAGAGCTCCTCTAATTCCTTCATCCTCTCTCCTTCTCATCTCCTCCAGTTTCTGGACCTTCTCTGTGTCTCCTCTCTCCTTCATCTTCTCAATCAGGAAGTCCAAGTGGACAATAGTGGACGCTGAATCAGCTTTCAGAGCGATCTGCTCCAGTCTGACTACATGCTGGTAGGACTCATCCAGGAACTGGGACTTCTCTGCTGTCAGCAGTTTCATTTCCTTTTCAAGAAAATCAACGTCCTTCTTTTTTGTTCGTGTTTTGTTCTTCTGACCGCTCCTTATCCTGGTCACATATCTCCACTTTTCTTTCACATGCACTGATGCAGGACACTTGTTGGTACATGACGTGCAGAGACCATCTCTAAAGACCTCACAGTGATTTAAGGGCACCAGGATGCGTCCAGGATAGTGACAGTTCTCCTCACAGACTGTGCAGCTGACAGCTGCTTTCAAACCCGGCCCACACATCTCTGATCTGATAGGTTCTTTATGTTTAAAAACAACACATGGAGTGACCACTTCATTCTTCTGCAGAGCTTCCCGAGTCTGTTTCATCTCTCTCTGTTTCACTTCAGTGAATCTGATTCTTTCTTGCAGGTTTTGGATGCAGGCTGTCAGTCTGATTCTTTCCTTTAACACTTCAGGGGTCACTTCTGGCTGCAGAGGTGTACTTTCTTTCAGGAAAGCTGTGAACCCTCTCACTCCTCTCTCTGAGCTTTCAAAGTTTAGTTTCAGGTATTTTTCTGCCTCGTCTTCAAGCTGGCAGTTATTAAACAAGAAGTAAACAGACTGATTCTTCTTATTTTTGGCACATTTAATTTTTGCATCTTCAAGAGCTTTAAAAGCATTTTTAGGTTTTCTTCCATCTGAGTGTGTGATCAGAGCTATGATGTTTTGCTCCACATCTTTTCCAAACAGAGACATCACTGAATCAAAGACATACATCAGTCGATCACTCAGTCGATTCTCTGTTGCCTTCATCACCAGACCCACTGCATGAATTTCATGGACTCCATCCAGCAAGTTCAATAATCTGTGACTGAAGATGCCACCGTGTTCGATGTCTCCATATCCAGGAGTATCGATGATGGTCAGAGAGTAGGGCAGAGTTTCATCTTCAAACCCAAAGATCTCGTACACCATCACATCTGATGTCTGACTTTTCTTCTCCTCCTCTACAATCGTAAACCAGACTCTATCCTCCCACTTCACTCCCATGGTGTAGTTGACCAGAGCGTTGATCAGAGTAGATTTTCCTGCTCCTGTTTCTCCCACAAGTAAGATGGTTCTGTCTGTCTTGTCTTGTCTTTTTTCTCCAACAGTCATTCTTGTTCCAAACTTCTGTTTCTTTGCTCTCAGCTGGTAGACAGCAGGAGGTCCTGAACTGATCAGATCACTTCTGGAGATGATGTCCTTGTATTTTGAGACGTTACTCGTCCTGCACCAAAGCAGAGTTTCAATCAGAGGGCAGAGTGAATGCAGAAGTCTTTATGAGTACTGCTGTCTGTGATTATCATGTTATCTGTACTGATGCAGCTGCTGTACAGCTCAGACTTTACTTTTACAAACACTATGACGTTTAAATGAGATAAAACCTGAAGACACAAACATGTATGGTGACAAAACTCAACATTTATGTGATCAAAATACAGAAATCAGATGAAGCCAGACGTCTTACTAAGTTTAATAATAATAATAATAATAATAATGTATATAATTCATGTGAGAAGGAATATAAATGAACAGGTATATCACAGGGAAGCTTCAATAATAAAATTGAATAAAATACGAAAACATGGTTGACCTTCAAATAAACAGATAAAAAAAATAAATCAAAAGTCCTCTGCGTCTGTTAGGAATCAATCAATAAATAATCAATTTAAGGTCACAGGAACTGAGTTAGAGATCAGTCATCTTCTACTCTCAAAAAGAAACTGATATTCAAATATGGATTTATTACCCGTAGATTGATTCTGTTCATCTGGACAGAAACGTTTCGTCACTCGTCCAAGTGACTTCTTCAGTCTCAGCTGACTGAAGCTTTCCCCAAATCTTATAAACAGTACATTTGCATAATGACTGAAACCAGCACTGCTGAAGAAACAATGGGCTGGGAGGTCAGTTTATGATTGCCATGACCATTGATTATTGTCCACAAGTACCATTCACAGAAAGTTGGGCAATTACAGCAGGTCTAACTCAGGCAAGCTGAAAGCCTGTGTAAAAATTATTTGAGAGTGACTTTGAGCGTGTGTGTGTGAATGAGATCAGGAGATCTCTGAATGTGCAACATTTAAAGTGTGTGATTTAGTAAAAAAGGGGCCTGTATTGAACGTATTGAGTTTTAAAGAGAAAAGTATTTGGATTAAAAGGACTCATGTTAATGTGCTAATGAAATGTGAGCTGAATAACCTTTGCCTTAGAGATGGAGAGGATAATAAGGACGGGCTAAAGGTCAGTAAATCTTATTTAAACACCTGATTGTTTGACTAGATATAAGAGAGAGGGAGGTGCGGGGAGTTGAAAGTTAAAAAGTAAATTGGGATATCTGGAGGCATTCTGGGTCAGTCTCCAGTGTCCCGCGAGAAGGGCAGTTCAAAGGATTCCAGGAGTTCACTGTTGGAAATTTCAGCAGCAGCACCGGAAATCGTCCATGTTGGACTTGGATTTGACTCTATTCCTCCTCCTCATCATGATTTTAATTGATGTGTTGGATTATAATTCTGAGAAGGATTTGGACTTCCAAAAGCATCCTCGGGCAAGATGCTGAACCGCAGGTTTCTCTTCGATGTTACAATCAGAGTGAGCTCTTAGGTAGCAAAAACAACAAAGCTTAAATGGGTGAAAGAGGAACGTTGTATAAAGCACTTAGAGTGGTCAAGTAGTAAAGCGCTGTATAAGAACCAGTCCATAAACCTGACCACCCTCTGCACTATTTAATAACCAGCCAGCGGAGCTCCTTCTCTAACAGACAAACACAAGAATTCTCTACAGTCCCTTTATTATGTAATACCTCTTTATGGTGAAAGGACTGAAAGCACTTTTCTACTCTCCCGGAGTACTCAAAGTGCTCTATACAACATGCCACATTCACCCAATCACAGCCATTCTCACAAGCACTGTCTTAGAGCTTCCTACACATCTTACTCTGATGGATGCATCGGAGTGCAATTTGAGGTTTGTATCTTGCCCAAGGATACTAGACATGCAGACTAGAGGAGCCAGGGATTGAACCACTAACCTTCTGATCAGTAGATGACCTGCTTTACCTCCTGAGCTACAGCCACCCCATGTATAATACTTATAAAGTTTACTACTGATTTTTCAGATATGAGATAAACTATTCTTTATTTTTATGAAATAAACAAAAGTTCATGTACAAAAAGGGGTGTCGAGATGAAGGGACTGACTGATTTTGATTGCGTGACCTCACTGTGTTTCGAGGAGAACCCGTATCTGGATCAAGTCATCAAAACATTCAGATCATACCTCTGTTGTTTCCCACATCTGAAGTTGATATTACACAGCATGCTGACTTCTTCTCTGACTTTTGTCTCCAGCGCGGCCAGGGTCTCCTGAATCATAAACTGGTCACTGGTTACAGTCACAGCAGACCAGTCCTGCAGCTGGGGCTTATTGTAGGTAAGAGGGAGGATGTTCTCCTGGAAGCTGAAGGGGTCTCTGATGAGCGAAGCTTCATGACACTTCAGCTTCTTCTCCTTCATGTGTGTAATCTCTGCCTGCAGCTCATATATAAAGCTTTCTGCCTCCGTCTCATTTATTTCCTGCTTCGTCTCGATCGCCTCAGACAGTCTGGTGAACTCTGTCTTTATGTGCTGCACCAAAGCAGTCATCACCTTCCTGCTGTATGATAACGCCTCCTCAGCTTTACTTCTGCTGGTCTTCACTGACTGTTGAAGCTCCTGGATTTTCTGCTCACGCTCCTGGATCATCTGATCCATGCTGTTATTTTCTAATCTCAGCTGGGATTTCTTCATCTCAGCCTCGTCCTCCAGACTCACTGTTTCATGTGTTTTATGGTCACTGCATTTACAGGACCGACACAGAAACATTTGATCCAGTCTGCAGATCAGCTCCAAAGGCTCACCATGATCCCGACATATTCTGCTCTCCAGGTCCTGAACTGGATCGATCAGCTTGTGTTTCTTCAAAGCTGAAATCCTCTGATGAGGCTCCAGATGTGTTTGACAGTAGGACACTAAACACATTAAACAGGACTTCAGGGCTCTGACCTTTGACCCTGCACAGATGCTGCAGAGCACGTCTTCATGTCCTGCTTGTTCAGATGAACTCAACAACATTTCTTGAAGAGATTTTTTAACCTTTTCTGCCATTTCATCAATGACAGGGTTAACCCGAAGCAACGGCCTGGTGTAAAACATCTCTTTGCACAGTGGACATTGGAGTACAGACAGGGTGCTCCAGTAGTCTGTGATACAGTTCATACAGAAGTTGTGTCCACAGGGAATCGACACAGGTTTAGTGAACACACTCAGACAGACGGGACAAAGAAGACTGTCCTCAGACACCAGAGCCGACGCCGCAGCCATGACTGCAACATACAAGCAGAGCTAATATTAGCAGTGTAAAGTTACTATAATCCTCATTTATCATTATCAGAGTTCAATATACAAAAAAGCAAAAATGAAACTGAAAAGAAAATGCGACTGTACCTTCTGTATGAAGTCTGAGTGGTGTAAATCAAAGAAACAGGCTCTTCTTCTTTTTAGTTTCTACTGACACACTGACCACATCGTCTCCTCCCACTTCCTCATTTGAGTAGAACAAATTAACTCTTTAGAAAACAGACCATGAAACCCTCACAGGTTAAAAAGGTTCACTGGGAAGCTGATGAGCATGACAACTACAGCAGCTCAGAATGAACTCCTGGATTCAAACCTCCACCTTCAAGAAAAACAAAGTGGATAGAAGTTTGAACGTGCTCAGAGGAACGAGTTAAGAGGAATGAACAATGGGGAGTTCTGACTCCGCCCACTGAGACTTGCAGTTTGTTCCTGCATCTGTGATCTTTATCTCTGACATGAGGCTCTGGGCTCAGGAACAGAAGTGAGTACACTTCTGTACTGATATCAGCTACATGTCAAATCCTTCACAACATCACAGTAATTTCATCATCACTGAGTTCACAGCTTGAGGCTTTTTTTCTCATGAACATTCAAGAACAGCTTAACACGGCCTATATTGAAAAGAAAAGTAGAAACACAAAATGAAACTAAACTGGGTACTCCTGTGTTAGCCTGATATCATGAGCACAGTCCAAAATAAACACTAGACACTCATACTGAAATTCAGGGCTTTGTCTGCATTAATTAGTCACATGAAAAATAATTAAGAGATAAATTAAAACGTCAGACTGTGACATGATGGAAAATCTGACCAAATAAAAGCAGCTGCATCAGAAATCAGAGTCGTGGTGATATTTTAACATGAATCCACACACAGCAGGGATCCAGACCATCCAGGGGCTGTCAGTGAAAATGAACGTCCCTCAGAGTGAAGGACAGTGTCCACGAAATAAAAACGTTGTTTGCTCTTTAGGACAAAAATGCAGACTGAAACGTTCCTAAAGAACTCTGATGAATAATTGGAGCAAACTGGAGTCCAAATTTGATTGTCTTAGAAAAGTTCCAGCATAATAGCATAATAGAATTGAACCTGTCCGAGAGTGTCACATGCAGAATCCTGACAGTGAAGCAGGGTGTGATGATTTGGGACTGCATGAGTCTGAGAGATGGAACCATGCATTCGTGCAAAAAACCCAAAAAACATGTGACAGGATGAATCTCAGCCTGAGGCTGCCTGGCAGAGGAGGAATATTCCAACTAAAGCTAAAAACTAAACTGGAAATCAGGAAACACTGCAACTGTTCAGTTTATATGACATGTTCTGTGATTAAGACCCTTTTTGAAAGTGGTCGGGGTGTTGAACTGCATAAGAAGGGTCTCTCACAGTGCGACATCTCTGCTGAGGTGGGACGCAGTAAGACGGTCATCTGAAATTTCTTAAATGATCCTGAGAGTTGTGGAACAAAAAAGCCAAGTGGAAAACCCAAGAAAAAAGTCACCAGCTCTGAGCTGGAGGATCCAGTTAGATCTCCATCAAGACACTGGACGATCCTTGACCCAACAACTTAAGGCCATTACTGTTGCTGACTGCAGCTCCATACCCATCAGACAGCACCTGAGACTGTATGTATGTATTGGTTTGAAAATGATCGTCACTAAATTGAAATTGAATTTTATATGTTGAAAATCAATTCATTTTCTTTGAAACTGTATTTTATCCTCTACAAAAGGATTTTAACAACAATTTAGTTTCAGTTTTAGAATTCAACTTCTGTTCCAAAATTCAGTTTTTTGGGACTCGCATCCGGTTCCGGTTCAAGAGTAATCGAGCGCAGATTAATAGAACTAGATTTTACTAGCAGACCAAAAGTGTTACTGACGGGACTCTACAGCATCCTGAGCTGGATTAAGACTTTAGAAGTCATTCGTCATGTCGAATGACCAGCGGATAAACTCTAATGTTGGTAATAAATGTATTACATGTATAAGAACATGAACTAGAAGCTAGCAAACAGAAGCATTCTAGCTTTTTAAATGGCGACCTACAACACATACATTAAACCTAACAATAACAGTCACAGTGATGCTAATAAAGCCTGAATGATGTCCTCCTAAAGGATGATTCACCTTCCCTCACTGCAAGTGCTGCAGAAGGTGAGCTCGGGTCTCCACGTCTCCTGCAGAGTGAACACAGAGGCCAGCAGAGCTGTAGCTGATGCTCAGGTCACTGAGAGACTCCTTGAGACAAGCCAGGCTCTGGATCATCACAGGATCCTTAAAAGATCACAACAAAGAACTTTAATGGACAAACAGAAATCTTCTTTCATTAAACCCAGTGTGAGAACAAAAGCAGGCAGAGTTCCTGATTCAGTCACTCAAATAACAAAAGCAAAACTCCAAAACACAAACTTAACAATGTGGTGTATGCTGTACAGTGCAGCGAGGAATGCCCAGACCTCTACATCGGAGAGACCAAACAGCCACTTCACAAGCGCACAACACAGAAGAGTCACCTCCACAGGACAAGACTCAGCAGTTCATCTGCATCTAAAGGTCAAAGGTCACTCTTTGAGGATGCCAATGTTCACATTTTGGACAGAGAGGACAGATGTTTGGAAAGAGGAGTGAAAGAAGCATCTATGTCCACTGTGAGCGACCATCTTTGAACAGAGGCGGGGTTTACGACACCAACTCTCTGCCATCTATAATCCAGTTTTGAGATCCCTTCCCAGACGCCTTAACGCCACACCTGTTTTCAGACCTTGGCTTGTGATTAGGTAGAGGATCATCAGGGGGTCCTTTGTCCCTCTTTGGGGGAAACTCCCACAGAGCTTAAACCTGGGACTCCCCACCATTTGACCCTTAGAACTGAAGAAGCTCCACACCTGCTTCACGCCCTGGAGGACGGGGCTGTGGCCCCCCCACACCCTCTAGCAGATTATTACATGAAGGAACCTTTTAAAAAACAAAAAACAAGCGCGTCCATGCTCACAGGTGTACACACGGGTGATCACACCCACAAACTACACCCTTTTTGGCTCCTGCCTCAAAGCACACTGTGTTCTGTTGATCTTATGTGCTGCACAATAATGTTTAACATTTAGTATTTACTGTCATATTCCCATATATCATTGTGATGTTGTTTATTCTATTACTCTTGTTCTCTTCTGCTTGCTTTCTTTTTTCTTTCTCAGCAGGTGATCCAGGTGATTGATATATGCATTTTTTTCTCTGCCCGTTCTGTTGGTTTTTGTTTTTTGCCCTTCTCCCCCGTCCCTCTTCTCAGCTGTTTCTCTTTCCCTCTTTCTTTCTCCCCTTCTTTCCCCCAGTCAAGTCTGTCCCGTATTCAGTAAGTGAAATAAAATAAACAATAAAAGGTGAATCAAATGGACCATTACGGCAAGGCTGGGATGGTCAGTTTGGTAAAGTAAATCCGTTGGGCATCTTTCTTTGCCTTTAGACAACAATTCTGATGCAAAAGAGCCAAACGGGACAGGCCAAAAAAAAAAAAAAAAAAAAAAAAAAAGAACTGAAGAAGCTTCTGGGATGAGAGGTGAAACGTCTTCAAGCAACTTAAAGAAGTCCAGACACTTTTCTTTCCAAGCTCCTTAGACTACGATGACCTGGATGACTAAGAACCTTCACAGACACATGCTAACAAAGTTCTGCTTACTAGTTACTATTTGTGGACCAAGATGCGCCACTTTCAGATAACGTTCTGGTCTCTTTACAGTGTAAATGCATATTTACAATGACTCCACAGTTTTCAGTATTAGGAGTTTTGAATTCATTTGTTGTTTTCTCTGAAGTTGATGAGGAGCTCCTCCTGTGCTGATGTTTCTCTGTGTGATGTAGGAGGTCGGGGAGCAGACCTGTGGAGCTGTGGAGGTGACGGCTGTCTGAGACGGAGCGTCTGCCTCTGCTGTGAGTCTCCTTCATGTTTCTCCA